CCTCTGAACCATCTCCTGGACTTGACTTCTTGATAAAGCTAGGAATATTCTGGAAAACCCCATCTAGTTTCTATCATTTTTTTACCTAAACCTGACAGAACAGAAAAATAGTTTCAAATGTGTCAAAGTCTCATTCTTCGTTTTAGAAGCTGTTGGACCTGTTTTCTCTTCCCTGAGACTTTAAGACTTCAGACCTTTGCATGGGCAAAGAAAGATCCATGCTTTGACGAGTCATAGAAAAGAAATGCTCTAGGGCCACCAAATTGCCCATTGGTAAAGGCTCTCCCTCCAAGCCTGATGACCTGAGTTTGATCCCCAGGATCCACACAGTGGGAAAAAAAACTGCCTTCTGCAAGTTCTCCTCTGACTTCCATACATGTGCAATGTTGCATACACACACACACACACACACACACACACACACACACACACACACACTTAAATAAAAATGTAATAAAACATTTTTAAAAGAAAAGAAAATTTGCAAACTCTGGAATTTCTCCTAAAACTTACCCTCCCGTATCTTATTATCTTGTTTCTCTTTCCTCCCTCCCTTCCCTTTTTCCTTCTTTCCTTCCTTCTTTCCTTCTTTCTTTCCTTCCTTCCTTCCTATGATGAGGATAAATTTAGGGCCTTTTCACATCTAGAAAAACATTATTCCCTTGAGCTACATTCCTAGACCTGGATTTTCTAGAAATAGTGGGTTTTGATGTGTAGCCTAGGCTAGCCTGGAACTCATCACTCTCCTGTCTCAGCCTCCAAAGTCCTGGAACTATGATATGTGCATAACTCTTCTTAATGTGGCCACATAAATTTCTCTAATAGAAATGTTGAGCCTAGCTTGTCAGAAGTGTCTTGGACCAGGCTCTGGCCCTAGCAATGATAATAAAAGTGGAAGGGTGATGTTACAGCCCCACACAGTACATGGTCCCCGTCCTAAAAGGGTAGATTTCTGATAGGGGGAATCCAAGACAAGAATGGAAAGTTCTAGGTTGAAGGTCCAGCTTGGTCACAGCTGTCTATCTCTTTCTCTGACCTCTCTCTTCCCCATAAGGAAGCGGGCCAGATGAGCTCGTTCATTGTTCTTCTCTCACACATGGAGCAGTGTCTGTATTTTGAATGTATGAATAAGTCTCAAAGAGGTATTGAATCATAGTGGTGAAAAGTGTGAACTCTATTTAGAGAAACTTACTTTAAGTACTAGTACTGTTAGTCACCAGGTGTGTGACCGTTGGGAATGACACTAGACCTCACCAAGCCTTAGTTTCCTCCTCTGTGAAGACAGGATAAGAATGGCAATATCATAACAACAATTGTGCAGCCATCATTTGGTAGCCACAGATTCCACCTCCAGCCACACTGAAACATTGAAAGTTTTCAGAAAAAAAAAATCAGTTTTCCTTGTCATTATTCCCTAAGCCATGCAGCATGCTGTAAGCAACTGCATAAATCAAACTGGTCCAAACAGACATTTTGTCCCTCAGTCTGACATATCAGACAATAGATTTTTGATATTGAAACAATGAACCCCAAGAAACTAGAGTCCCCTTCCCTTGAGACCATGCCAGGAGAAGAAGGCTAAAGTCTGGTGCCATCAGAGGGAGAACGTGGCTCCCAGAGAAGAGATTTCACACAGTTCTTGGAATTTGTCTGACCACTTCCCAGGATGGAAACTGAAGCCTACACAATAATGGGTCACTATTAGCTAGGATCAAACCTTGACCTGGGCTGCTTAGACATGCATATCTCTGGCCCTCTGTTTAAACTTTAATCTCACGTTAGGATCCCAAAGATGGACTGGAAGAGCAACTGGATCTCTTTGTACCTCTCCCCAATGTGGCTACACTGAATAAATCTCATTTGTCTAATTTTTACTATTCATTTGGCTATTTTAATTCACTTCTGGAGGAGGAGTGGCCAAACCTGGCTCCTTGGGGGACAGACTGTGACCCCAAGTCCAGTAACAATAACTATTTATGTAGAATTATTTTATATTATATTATTATACTGTAATACAAATACTATATTGTGAGGTACTTTGGCTAACCTAAATATGTTTTAAACAATACAGGAGTATATGCATAAGGTGTATATAAACACCACACGAGTTTGCATATTGAACATCACAGATTGTGTTACATGTGGAGGTTCCTGGAGTCAACATGCTCTTGATACTGGGGGTCAACTATAATTATTATGATAAAGACTATATTGTAAAAAGAAGTTGACACAGTGGAAACATTAACAATTATCCATTGTCATTCTTGTCTTCTGTTCTTATGGGAATTCTGGGATACCTTTGAGAGTGATGGAGCCTTCTTGACTCTTGGGTTGGCTTATCCCAGTGGGCTAGAGTCCTGGGGACTTGCCAGTGATTTGCATTGCTCTTGGCTTGCAAATATGAAGAATGAAATTTCTAGACCAGGGAGGGTGCTGTGGGATGTTCTGTATGTCCTGTGGGAGCCCTTCTTGGGTTCTTTGTGGCGTTACCCAGCAGGTCCGCATAGAGGATGATTAGGACCATGGGCCTGAGTGCAGGTGTCTGAGATGGTCTGCACTTGGCTGTGCTGGGGGATGGTCTGTATGTCAAGTTGTTCTGATTGATCAATAAATAAAACCTGATCGGCTGTGGCTAGGCAGGAAGGATAGGCGGGACTAACAGAGAGGAGAAATAAAAGGACAGGAAGGCAGAAGAACTGACTGCAGCCGCCGCCATGACCAGCAGCATGTGAAGATGCCAGTAAGCCACCAGCCACGTGGCAAGGTATAGATTTATGGAAATGGACTAATTTAAGCTATAAGAACAGTTAGCAAGAAGCCTGCCACGGCCATACAGTTTGTAAGCAATATAAGTGTCTGTGTTTATTTGGTTGGGTCTGAGCGGCTGTGGGACTGGCGGGTGACAGAGATTTGTCCTGACTGTGGGCAAGGCAGGAAAACTCTAGCTACAGGAGGGTGAATTTTACAGAGGTTTTTTTTTTATTATTATTATTACAGAAAAGAAAAAGACAGAGTTCCTGTAAGGCAGGAGAGGTGTCCTAGAGGGGGATACCATGAGCCTCACTGCCCTGGGGATAACAAGGTTTTCCTGGATGGAGGGATGGGGGTAGGAGTGAGCTGGTCAATGCAGTTTCCATTCAGGTTATCTAAGTGCCTCTGAGTTTCAGTTGTGTACTCAGTATGGTGTCCAGGGAAGGGGTACTCCTTTGCAGGGCAAGGGACAAGGAAAATCTAGATACACCCTCCTTTCTGCCATTCCTGGCTTCTGTCCCTGACAGAATCAGAGACACTTTGGTTTAAAGCCTTCGGGTACCCTGGGTCTCCAGCAAGTGCAAAGCTGTTCACAGGCTCAAAAGCACTTCTAGCTTTTAGCCAAGAAATTGTTCACGTTTCAGGGTCCTTTTGCCTTAAAATTACCTGGTCAACTTCAGGCTCCAGGTCTCAAGACTATGGAGACCACAGCCAATGAACTTGAGCTCTCAAAATAAACCTTGTGTGACTGGCTCCCCTTAGGCATGAATAATCACCAACTCCTGCTGGAGGAGAAGGCCTCTCTCTGGAGTCCAGCAGAGCTCTGCTTGCAGCCCTTCATAGCTTTGCTCCCCACAAAACATCAGGGTCCAAATGAACAGACACCTCTTGCTGCTTTTCTCCCTCTTCTGCCTCGTTGTGGGTGAGTCCCAGACCTGAGCAATGAGCTCCAGTGCAGGATCCCCAGGGAGCCACAACGAATCTCCACAAGCACAGCCATGTCCATGTGGGCAGAGCTTTGACCATATTTGGGAGAGAAGGACGGGAGATGCTTTCAGAATGCTCCTCTGCCTTCTCTTCCATCTTCTCTGTCTTTTTCAGCACTCTGCAACATCTCTCTGGGTGTGTAGGCCTAATTTCGTCACCCTTTCCGCCGCTGTCAAAGCCCATAATCTAGATGCCAAGCATCCATTCTATTCACAAATCTATGATGCTGAGGGAACTGGTCATGCAATAATCTTGTGATGTGCCCTAGTCCTAGACATTGGCTTCTGAAAGCCATTTCAGAGAGCTTGTCACAAGCTGCACAGGAGAAGTGTATACCCTGGAATCAGACAGATTTTTCCAAATTTGTCAGTCAGTCACTGTCCTGAATTCTCTAATTTGACAAGTGGAGACAAAAACCTTCTTACAATGATTTGCGAGATCAGAGTACAGTGCATTAAATTACATCTAATGGTCAATAAATACTATATCCTTTCTAATTTTATCACTATTAGGAGATTTTTAAACACTTTTTAACATGTGTGTGCTTGTGTGTGCAGGCATGTATGTGTGCATGCTTGCGCGCGCGCGCGCGCGCGTGTGTGTGTGTGTGTGTGTGTGTGTGTGTGTGTGTGTGTTGCACATGCCATACTATACACGTGGTCAGAGGACAACTTTTGGAAGTAATTTCTCTCCTTCCATCATGTGGGTCCTAGAATTCGAACTCAAGTCAATCAGGCTTGACAGCAACTTTACCTGCTAAGCCAGCTGACCAGCCTCTGGAAAGAATTTTTTTTTAATTGAACCCATACTTTAATTATTCACTCTTCGAAAACCTCCTAAAGATCAATGACCATTTTTAAGCTAGAAAAATAAACTGTGTAGAACTCACCTAAAACAACACCAGATCTTGTGGTGTGTGTTTATAATCCCAGCGCTAAAGAGGCAGAGACAGGCAGATTCCTGCAGCTCCCTTGGCAGCCAGCTGAGCCAAATAGATGAGCCCTGAACCAGTGAGAGAAAGTTATCCAGAATGTAAAGGCTGAAATTGAGACCAGAATCCTTTCACATGCTCGGTAGCCTTTACTTCCCATCACTAAAGGCAAAGGAGTTGTCAAAAAGGAAAACTCAACTGTCACTTCCTAACCATGCAACCATCAGTTCTTCTTGCCTACCCACCCTTGGAAGGGCGCTCCACCCAGCTCTGCCATCTCCCTCCCCATCCCAAGTCCCTGCCCTCACGGCAAGCTCTGTGCTCTCTCCAGAAGCAACATCACTGAAGTGTGTCACATGCCACCTTCGCACACCGGCAGACCACTGCAGAAGAGGCTTCGGTGTTTGCCATGCTCAGAAGTACGAATCATGCATGAGCCTAAGGATCTACTCCAGTAAGTTGCGGGGTTGGCCAAAGTCGTGGGAAGCTTGGGCATCTCTGACCCAGGCCACAGTACAAAGTGCTTTGAGCACAGAGGGTAGAGACCGATGAGGCAGGCAAAAGATGCAGAGCAGGATGAAAACAGCCAGACAGATTTTTTTTTTCCTTTGGAGATACCAAAGCCATGTTTTTCTCATCTTCTAGCAGGGGAAGGGATGAAGCAAATGCACAGATTTGAGTTGTCAGGGACCACAGGCAAACAAGTCAAGCTGATGGCTTTCCAGCAATTTCTGTGTTGGTGCTCTTGGGAAGGGGATGCTGGGAAGCCATCCACAAGCCTGACTGGTTAAGGCCAGGTATGGTCTGCCTTGGATACTGGGGTCACTGCTTGATGTCTTTGGTTCTTTCTTGTTGCAGATAACACTCTCCAAATATCATACATGGTGTGTCAGAGATTCTGCAAGGACTTGACATACAACTTCAACAATCGGACTTACATCCATAAATGTTGTGATGACGATTTTTGTAACTTCAGAGTCTAAGATATACCCCAGACCTCATTCTAGAAGGTCCAGATGTTTTTCTTCCTTTACACTCTACTAACCCTGCCTTTCTGCCCCATATGCATGGAGGATACTCCTGCTCCTCCTTAACTCCACATCATCCTTCCTGGTTCCTTCAGCTTGGATCTCTCTTTGGGCAGGAGATGATGAGGGATCACAGTTTTAAACAATAGATTTTTTTCTCCTGTTACTAGAATTGGCATCTTCATCTACTAAAAGACATGTCCCAAGAAACTCTGTACAGTAAGATATGAAATGGGACCACCCTAGAACTCTTCACTAGCTTAGATAATTGAGGTGGACCAGAAAGCCTTCAATGGAAAACTCACAAATATTTTTAATTGAACATCTCACAAGTCACCACGATGGTTAAGCTGAAACAGAACAAAGTGGAGGTGGGCAATGAAGATTTTGTTCTGTGAATGCAAATTTTCCCCCCTTTGGCAGACAGTGCCCATTTCAGACTCAGTCATTCTGATTTTCTTGGCAACTAAAGCATTCTCACACATTTTCACAGGGCATTGCAAACACAGGACTTTTGCCCTGTGTGGCATTCCGAGATCAAATGAGGCCATGACTATTCCTCTATAGACGCATGTCAAAAACACATTACATCACTTTTAGCCTCTATCCTTTCCTAACCTTTTGCCATTCTTTTCCTCCTTTGCCAGACATCTCTTCACCTTCTATGACAACATGCACTCTCCCAATAAGAGTGGGCTATCCTTCAAATCTTTTTCCAGTATGTCCCATGGCCCCTGAGCAGGCAGCCTTCCAGGGCTCCTCATCTGTGGTGCAAACTGGTCACACTCAGGAACATCTCCATATTCCCCACAGCATCTCCCATGAGCCTTAGGTCCACACGTAGAGCACAATGGACCTAGGTCTTCAGTCCTTCACTACCTGTCTATAAATAATAAACCCACTTCACATAATTGTATACTAGTGTGTCCTTTCTCAGTGGACCCACATAGGTAACCCATGCATAGTGGCTATGAATAGCAGCCCAGGATTCAATGGGTACAATTACATTGCTGTTTCTTACAGTTGGCATAGTGATGATCTTTGCTGTTCATCACAAGTGGGAGTCCTAATTTGGGATCTTCTATATGTTGTAATCCCTCCCTCTGGCATCTAGCATGAATATGACTTCTAAGAGCCTTATGATTACAGATATTTCTCTAGATTTCCAGTTGTCAAGTACTTAGCAACTATTCACGGGAATCCTTGTGAGTTTGAGAGCTATAACTAAATTTTGGGGCCCATGGGTCCCAAATCATATTGCCCCAACAGAGTGCTAAAACTATTATTTTCTTCTATTCATCCAAAGTTTGTCTGTGCATTGCAAGCCCTTCCTTCCCTCCACTGAGAAAATCTTGGGGCTGTTGTCAAATAAAAAGGTTGTTGTTGGTCTCTATTCACACAAGAAGAGCTCATCCTTTCAGAATGAGATTTTTCTTTTGCTTTGAATTTACATGTGCCCAATATCACCTAAGAATATTTGATTTTTCAGTTTGAATTAAAAGTCCTGTGAAGCACCTAATAAAACCTTCCCTAACTTTCAGAATGAAAGAAAATAAATTAGTCGGTCATTACATGACCTTCACTGCCTAAGAAATTGAGCTGTCCTGGAAACTGCAAATTAGGGTGTCATCTTCTAGGCTTAAGATGCCAGACACCTTAGGGGATACAAAATTGGAGAAAAGAAGCCTACAAAAAAAAAAAGAAGAAGAACACAGACAGCATATGGGGTGTACTCATTCACACATCTGCTGGGCCACAGATATACCTATAGCACATCTCAAGGAACAGACTGTGCATGTATTCACCCCATGGCAAAGCAGAGTCCTGACTAGAGCCAGCACTGAAGTAGGGCATGGCAGCGGCAACAGGGGTGGGATGACAACAGTTGCTAAGGAAGCAAGAATTTCAAAGTGATAAACCCCTCTCCCCACTTTTAACCATCTGCTTTTTGCATTTCATGTATTGACTTATTGGGATTTTTGTATTTGCTTTGAGACGACCTCAACCTCCCATGTGCACATGCCACCAAAATAAATGAATAAATGAAAATTGAGAAAATTTTATGCATGGATGAAACCCTCACAAAATAAAAATTGAAAAAAAAATACATTGAAAAAATTGAAATAAAATTTCATTTGAGGGCTTCTCTTACTTAGCTTCCAGCTCATATAGTTCTGTGAGGGAGTCTCAAACAACTGGGAGGTTGCATTGATCATATTGGCCTGTGAGTATGTCTGTAGGACATTTCCTTGATTGCCAATTGATAAAGGAGATCCAAGCCCACTGTGGTCAGTGCCATCCCTGGGCAGATGGCTCTGTATTGTATAAGAAAGTTGCTTGAGCATGAGCCAGAGAGAGAAAGCCAGGAAGCAGTATTCCTCCATAGTTTCTGCTTCAATTCCTGTTTGAGCTCCTGTCCCAGTTTCCCTCAGTGACAGATTGTGACTTAGAAGTACAAAATGAAATGAACCTTTTCCTTCCCAGCCAAACTAGAGTATTTGATTTTTATTGGTTTATTCATTTTCCTGTTATTACTATGTATGGATCTTTCCCTACAATACTCCATATCATCACAAACTCCAGAAGTGCACTTTTCCTATGTGAAAGTTTATGACAAGTCTTTTTGAATATTCATCATGAATTTTTTGGGCCATTTCAATTCTAACCTTTTCTATATTGTCTTGTTTCCTTAAAAAATGTACTTAATGTAAACAATCTCTGTGTTAAATCATATAAACTTATGTGTTTTATTGAAGTCTCGTCATCTTTAATACCACAAAGAATATTTTTGTTGACTATTTGAGAGTAATTGATGACACAATCTTTACAAGCCCTGAGTTCTTCAGTATGTTTCCTAAAAATAACAATATTTCCTCCATATCCACAAGGTGTTCATCACAATCACAAGATTATGACTAATATGATGTCAAAGCATCTACTGGCTAAGATTCAACACATTTTCAGTAACATTTCTTTAATAAAATATTTCCAACCACAATCTCAATATCACACTTAGTTACCACATCTAACCAGTCCCTCCAGTCCAAAATAGTTTCACAATCTTTCTGTTTTCATGGTCTTGATATCTGAACATCTTTACAGTTCCTCAAAGTGGATCAGTCCACAGTGTCTGCATGATTACATCCAGGTGATGGATCTGCAGTCAGGAACATCACACAATGATGATCACAGAATGCTGTGTTCTTCCCAGTACCTCCCATCCACAGGCATGTGATTCTCTCTCATCACTGAAGATCTCAACTGATGACAAAGTGGTTTCTCTTCTCCAAAATAATTCACTTTGAAGAGTCAAGTCAAGGTGGTGGAGTGGAAGCCGGCTCTGGGTGACACCAGGATCGAGAACAGTCAGGAAAACAAAGGAGAAACTTTATACTGAGGAGAGAGAAAGAGGAAGCACATCAGAATTCACAAAAGAGTTCATATGACCAGTGAAGATAGTTTCCCAATGAGGGCAAGGGGAAGTGGAAGACTGGCAAGTTAAGCCAGGTGGCCCTGTTCAGAAAGGGCCTGGAAGTCAATCTTAGCCACAGAGCAGGCCCATATTTCTCACAACTTTTTCGTTTGTTTTCTTGTTTTTTTGAGACAGGTTTTCACTGTGTAGCCCTGGCTGTCCTGGAACTCACTCTATAGACCAGACTGGCCTTGAACTCATAGAGATCCACCTGCCTCTGCCTACCAAGTGCTGGGATTAAAGCCATGCACCACCATCATCCAGCTTAGTTCTCATAATTTTTAATCCAAGTGGAAATCTGAGTAACAAGTCAGAGTATAAGGTACTCACTTGGGCATTCTCTGTACCTTGAAGAACTATACCCACATACCATCTCAAAACAAAACATATTTCTTGGTACAAAGCTTCTCTAGAGCCCTTAAAACAAACAAAAAGAGAGCCTGGAGATATACAGCCATACACCCTGGGTTGGAGCTGGTAACATAAGGTAGTCATGGAAATGAGAGGGCTGAATGCAGACATGCAAAAAACCTCAGATATACAGAAGCACAGACAAGGAAGAACTCATTGGTGAGTTGGTGGGGAGCCCTGCCCTTTCAGTGAAAAAGAGAGTAACATAAGAAACAGATGGCCCTGAGTCAAAAGTCAGGCTTCTTCTTGGCCATGAAGTTTTCTAGTTGCAATATTGAGAACACTAAGTTCATGCATGTGGACATTCCCTACAGGCTCCTGCTTTACATGGGATGTTTAGTGTTGAGCAGGAGTAGAAAGCACGGAGGTGAGTCCTCTAGTAACAGCTCTCAGTGCTCCAACTGCTTCCTCTACAACCAACACATTTAGCTCCCACAGGCGTTCGGATTTGGTCACGTGAGTAGCCCCAGTAGGGACGCATGGGGCTCAGATCCACATAGTTGGGCACTAGATAATGCAAAAATTCCATGGAGTCTGTTTAAAAGGTGATGGAATTTATTAGGGAGGAAAACTCACTACAGCACAGGAGATTTATTGTAGGGTCTTGGAAAGCTGAGTTACAGTCCCACACTGTTCTTCTACCTGGTCCATCTCAGCATCCAAATCCATGAAGGAGAGAAGAGAGACTGCGTACATGTATCTCAGGTCTTAAGGGTAACTGAGAGGCCATGCCCTAAGGCATGTACTTCAAGGTCATAGGCAGATAGAACAATTACCTTCTACATCTCTAGGGCTGTGCTTCAGGATCATAGAACAGATATCCACTACACTTAGAGCATCCTTCACTTTGACGTTAGGGACTCCAATATGTACAATCTGGAGCAACTGAGATCCATACTTGCCCACATGCTGCGAAGCTAATGCTGGTCAGAAGTGGTTCAAGATATGCATGGAAGGGAGAACCCTAAACTTGTTTCAGCACTGTTGAGCAGCTGACATTTGAGCAGGCTGAAATGTAACAGTCTCTAATTTCAACTCACCACACCTACCACCTACCAATATTTAGAGAACGGGCTCCAATATTTAGAGAACTCAGAAAGAAGCTGTTCATTTTTCAATGAGATAGCCAAAAAGGTTTAATTATTTTAAGTATAAAGTATTCCTAAAAATCAGTTAAGAAATAATAACCCTCAAAAACATATGCACATTGTAGAGGGATTGGAGGTCTTTTGTGCTCATAGAAAAGCACTAGGAATGTTAAACACACAGGGTTGTTCCATCAAAGGAAAGGGTACATAACCTGCCATCCCACCCTCCCCTCAGAAGGCTGGGGAGATGTGCTTAATAGCCTGGCAACCTTTGAGCTATGTGAGTGGCCAAGATCACACCAGATCCTCCCCCAGACCCTTATTGCAAACTTGTTTTTCTCAGTCAATCAATAAACCCATCTTTATGGAAGGTGTTATGTGAACTTTACATAGAGTTTTGATTTAGTTACATTAGATCTTTAGTTAGCTTACTTTGTGCTTTATTGTACACACAGGATTGAGTTAATCACCAGGGAGGTTTTCACCAAATTGTGCTGTGCTTAACAATGCCAAAAATAAACTACTCAGGGTCAGATCCTCTAAGTTTGAACAAACACAGCCTACTTAGTCCTGTTGAACCAAACTACCTTCTTGCATTCCATGGATCATTACTTTGCCAATGTTGGTGGTCACAAAGACCCCCACAGCACATGTAAGCAAAGAATAAAGAAACCATTCAAAATAAGGGAAGTGCAAAACCCTGCACAAAGAGAGTCAATTCTTAGATAAGACAAGTGCAAACACTACAGCAAGAATTGAATCTGATTTTCTACATATCAACCTCGGAAGCACTGAAAAGTTTGACAGTCTCTCACATCACACAGGACCATACAAACTACTGGGGAACATCCAAACTGCTAACTTCTGTTCAGGAAGCACTTAGGGAACATCTAGCAACGTAAAAATTCAGGTGACTATAAACCCCTCACTTCTTTTTTTAAAAGTATACTTTCATTCTTTAGGATTTGTGATACGTATATAAGTATTTTGATCAAATCTGCTTCCGTGCTTTCCCTCCAACTTCTGTCCAGTCTTCTCTTCCACCCCCACATCTCCCTCCTAACTTCATTTAGTCATTTTTTTAAACTACTGAGTCTAATTAGTGAGGCTAGCCTGGTATATGTATGGGGAGAGAGCCACCACTAGAGCATGGGCAATCGACCCAGATCCACATTCCTGAAGAAGACTAATGCTCCCCTCCCTAGCAGTCATCAATTACCAATAACTCCTCAGCTAGGGAAAGGGCTTCGTGAGCCCCTCTCATTCAAATTGGAAATATGAATTCCTTGATCTTATGCAAGTCTTGTGAATGTACCACAACTCCAGTGAATTTATTCTCAATACCCATGTGGTAGCTCACAACCAACTGTAACTATAGTTCCAGAGGATGTGATGCCCTCTTCTAGTACATGTCATGCATATAAACTCACTCATAAACACACATAAACATGAAATAGACGAATAAGTGAATAGACTTTTCACTAAAAGATAATTATTTAGAGAGCAGTTTATTGCTATGTCACTAACAACAAATAACACTAAAAACAAAATAGATTATCCTCTAGGGCTTATGACTTACCCAACCACTGATTCTTGAACCAGGTAACATTACCAGGTATGTGTTCCATCTTGTGGGGTGGGTCTTAAATGCACTCAGAATGATTGCTCACTCCTGTGGCATTCAAAACTGTGTGCATATCTTGACACACTACTTAATATTGTAGCTCCTGGAGTTCCCAGCTGAGTAAAATCGCTGACAATTTCTCTCTCCCAGCGTCATATAGAGCACTTTCCAGCCCTGAGAAACCTAGCTATAGGGAGGAAGCCTCCAGCCGAGCATCAGCTTGATTTCCCTGTGTTCTATGACCAAAGTGTGCAGTGTCTTCAACAATACAGTGATGCTATCAGGTTCGAGTGGTGGGTTGAGAGCAATGGATATACCCTGTGTTGTTTGGGGGTCTGAGATCTACTTTTAAATTAATCAGTAAATAAACATATTTTATTGGATGTCTATACTTTTACATATATTTACCCAAATGAAACCATGATTTTCCTCATGTTAATAATAATTTCAGGACTATAGTACTATGTGATTCAGATTGACATCATTACTGCCATCTTGAGATGTAACTACCATGACTGCCACTAAATAATCTAATTTGGCTTCCCATTGATAGTTTCCCATCTTCTTAAAAATAAGTGAAGTCATTTGTGTTCTGGGGAGCTTTATGATCCAGACACTTGTACCATCAGTCCTAGGGATGTGCCTGAAATTTTTGGTAAAGCTTATATTGTTATATGATTATATTTATATAATTTATATACTAATATATATTCTTTATAATAAGACAATATATTAATATAGTAGGCATAATAATATGTTAATGATATTATTAATATTATTGTGTTGATATTAATATGTTATATATCACATTAGTCATATTAATTAATATCAATGTGTTATTATCATGATACATTAATATTATTAACATAATATGATATGTTAATGTAACACTATTATATTAATATAGTAATATGTTAGCACTATATAATAAGATATTAATGTAGTACAATATATACTAATATCAATATATTATATATTTATAATAAATTAATATATAGTTATATATGTAATCATTGGAATCCACTGGTCTTGCTAGCAGTTAAGACCATGTTTCTGTCAGTAAATATCAATACATGCATTATGGGCATTTATGGAACTACCTTTCTTCTGCCTAAGGGCATTGTGTGGTCTGTTCATGTAAATTGGGACCCAGTGGTTCTGGCATAATTTTTAATATGTTTGTCTTTCCTAGATGATCATCAGTTTTGCCACTACAAGTTCATCAACCAGCAAGATATGTTTTGCCAAGAAAGGCATCTGAGACCCTGATCCTAAGTTGCCACATTTGCTTAGAGACTGGCCTTCTTGACCATTCTCTCGACTTCTGACTTGGTTGTTGCTGTTGTGATTTGTAAAATGTTTTGAACGGGTTTATTCTAACTAGACCAAAATGGTGGAAGGAAATAATTTTAAAACGAGGCAACATGAGAGTCAGAATCTCATGGAAATCCAGGACAGGGTCAGAGTTCAGGAAGGCAGACCTGGAGGACCACATGGAGGGATATGACTCTGCTCTGCCAAAGGCTGATGGTCTTCAGTTCATGCTCGGCTGTGTGTGGCTGTCCATTCCTGCTCTGTCTCCCTCGGGGTCTCTCTCCCCTCCCGTTGTCACTCACCCTCATCACATCTACTTCCTGTTTCTTCTCTAGTTTGAACCTTTCTCTTGGTTTCTCTTTTAACATGATTTTTGCTTGCTGGGATCATTCTAGGCACAATGAGCATACACAATAATTTCCCCAGGAATCATTTCATCTTGAGATCTTCCTGCCAGTATCTCCGATCTGTCCACATGAACTAA